TTCTGATTTTTTTCTAATTAACCTGACCGGAAAATTACTCTGTATGGAGCCATGCAATGAGAATTTCAATCCTAGAATGAAACGAACTAGGGCTTATTGACGGCACATGCAAAAGGGAGAATTACAACCCTAATTTGGTTGATTTGTGGGAGTGATGCAACACAATTGTCCTTTCATAGATTATGAATTGTGTATTGAAGGAATTATACAGTGGAATTGTGTATTCATCAAGTGCATCGACAGCTTGGCTAGATCTGAAGGAGCAATTTGACAAAATTGATTGTTCTAGGATATTCCAAATCCACTTGCTGCTATTAATCAGGGAACCGGCTCTATATTAGCTTATTTTTCAAAACTGTGTGTGTTGTGGGCTGAATTTCACAGCTTAACACCTATTCCAGGATGTGATCGTGCTAAGTCTAGGGAGTTTGTTGTTTTCATGGAGAGGTTGAAGCTTTTCCAGTTCTTTATGGGACTGAATGAATCGTATGAACAAGCAAGGAGTTAGCTGCTTATGATGGTTCCAGTTCCTACAATTAACAAGGCATATTCATGCTGATGAAAAGGGAAAGTCAACGCAGTATGTCTAACAATTGGTGCACAAATGAAGGATGAGATTGACAGCTTTGATGAAAATGAAGGGTGGACCAGGGAAAAGGCCAAAGAGAAACTTCAATTTGTATTGTGACTATTGCAAAATGAAAGGTCACACTCGTGAAGGATGTTATAAACTGATAGGCTATCCAACAAGTTTAAGAAGAAAACTGGAATTAATGCTGCAGCACACAATGTTTCAATTAAAGATCATAAAAGGCAGGAAATAGGAGTAGGAAGTATCAACGAAGGAGATAAGTGTTCCACTGATGATGTTGTTTGAGGTCCATATTTCACACCAGAGCAGTATAATCAGATTCTCAAGCTGCTGAGCAAGGACAGTGTGGGTGAGACTTCAGCTAATATGACAGGTAACATCAAAGCATTTTTGGTAAACTCAAATAAAAAGGAATGGATAATTGATTTTGGAGCTACAAATCATATGGTTGCTGATATAACTATGCTAGATAATAAACTTGAAGTAGAAAATTCTAGAAGGAGGAAGGTACATTTGCCTAATGGAGGAACAACTAACATATCACATGTTGGTACTTATAGAATACTCGACAAGGATGTCTTAAATAATGTCTTGTACATCCCAGATTTTAACTAAAACCTGCTGTCCATATCTAAAGTCACAAAAGCTCTATGTTGCTCAGTATGTTTCTTTCCACATTTCTGTATATTCCAGGGCCTTTACAGTAGGAAGGTCAAGGGGATTGGTAAAGAGAGAGAGAGATGGACTCTACTGGCTCTCACAAACACCTGTTGAGAAGGCTAACATTAGATCTAAAGTGATGAATGCAGTAAAGGAGAAAATATATATTGAGCTTTGGCATAAGAGACTAGGCCATGCCTTAGTCCAAACAATAAAGCAGCTGCTATGATTGCCCCATGAGAATGTCGAAATGTAGTTGACAAATATATGATTTGCCCTCTAGCAAGGCATACTAGGTTACCTTTCAATATCAGTAATAGTAGAATTACTGAATCCTTTAATCTGTTGTATATTGATGTATGTGGGCCCTATCATGTACAGAATGACTTGGTTATATTTGCTTAAACACAAGAGTGATGTTATTGTGGCACGAAAATTTTTTCTCAGGATGGTTCATACTCAATTTGGTAAAAATGTCAAAATAATAAGATTTGATAATGGTACAGAATTTATCAATTCAGATTGTTCTCAATTGTTTCAATTTTTGAAAATTATACATCAAAGGTCTTGTGTCTATACTCCTCAGCAAAATGGAGTAGCTGGGAGAAAATATAGACACATTCTAGAAGTGTGAAGAGTTGTGAGGTTTCAAGGTGGAATTGCTTTGAAATTTTGGGGTTACTGTGTGTTAGCAGCAGTGTACCTAATCAACAGAATGCCTTCTGTAGCACTAGAAGGAAGGACACCTTATGAGATTTTTCATCACAAAAAGCCTAGCTTGGACCACTTAAGAATATTGGGATGCCTATGTTTTGTAAAGAGGCCAAATGTTTACGATAAGTTTGAAGCCAGAGCCATTACAACAATCATGATGGGATATTCAGAAGTAACCAAAGGATATATTTTATTTGACCTAACTAATCAGGTCTTCTTTGTGAACATGGATGTAAGCTTTAGGGAAACTATGTTTCCTATTAAACATTAGAGGGATAATCAATGTCCTTTATTTTCTCAAGATGGCACAGTTTCTTCTTGTCTTCTTGATTTGGCATCTTATGATGCTGAAATAGAAGACATTCCTTTAGCAGACACTGATGCAACAGTTACACCAGGAAAAGAAGGTGATCCATCACAAGCTATTGATCCTCAGCCACATGTTGATCCTCAGCCAGATGCCATTCATGATCTTCATCCTATGTCACAGCCAATGCCAATTGTGATCATGCATTGCCTTATCCTATGCACGATTAAATCAGTTATGCTCATGTGCAACCTTATTACCAACAGTTCCTAGCTGCCTTCAAATTTTTTGTGGAACCTAGAAATTTTCAGGAAGCTTGAAGGGATCCCCTTTGGGTGGAAGCAATGAAAGCAGAAATCCGGGCCCTAGAAGATAACAGAACATGGAAGTTGGTCACTCTACCACCAGGGAAGATGCCCGTTGGATAAAAATGGGTGTTCAAAATCAAGTACAAGGAAGATGGATCAATAAAGAGATATAAGGAAAGGCTTGTTGCTAAGGGCTACAATCAACAAGAGGTATTGATTACAATAAAACATTCTCTCCGGTTGTGAAGATTATGACTGTGAGATCTTTTCTTTCAATTGCTGCAACAGAAGGATGGCATGTATATCAGATGAATATATACAATGCATTTCTTCAAGGTGATCTACCAGATGAGGTTTACATGCAATTAACAAAGGGCTTTGCAAGCCAGGAGGTGAATACAGTATGTAGGCTTGTCAAATCCCTTTATGGATTGAAAGAAGCAATTCGATAATGGAATGTAAAATTGACAGAAGCCTTACAAGCACAAGGATTTACACAGAGTAGTCTAGATTACTCTTTGTTCACAGAGAGGCAGGGAAGCAACATTGTGATTATTCAAGTATATGTTGACGACATATTGGTCACTGGAAACAACATCAAGATCATAGAAGCAACTAAGAAGAACATGCATGCAGTTTTCAAAATAAAAGATCTTGGAGAGTTAAAGTACTTTCTGGGAATTGAGTTTAGCAGGTTGAGGAGAGGGATCCTAATGAATCAAATAAAGTATGCATTGGAACTCATTGGAGATTTAGGATTGAGTGCATCCAAACCAGCCTACACTCCACTAGAATATAATCAAAAGCTCACTGATAAAATATTGGATGAAGTTACAGAAGCTGGAGTGATGACCTCTTAGAAGACAAGGGAAAATATCAGAGACTCATTGGCAAATTGCTATATTTGACTCTAACTAGATTAGATATAGCATTTGCAGTCCAAACATTTAGTCAGTTCATGCAACAACCTAAAAGAAGTCACTGGTAAGTTGCATTGAGGGTAGTGAGATACATAAAAAAGGATCCATGATTGGGTATTTTGATGAGTAGTGAGAAGAACAATGTACTAACAGCCAATTGTGATGCAAAGTTGCAAACTGGGCATCATGCCCCAACACAAGAAAGTTAGTGACTGTATTTCTCATTAAGTATGGAAATTCACTCATATCATGGAAGTCAAAGAAGCAAAATACAATCTCTAGAAGCTCGGCTGAAGTAGAGTATAGAAGTATGGCCTGGACAGTTGCTAAACTAGTTTGGTTGGCAGGATTATTCAAGGAACTTGAAACAAGTGGAAATTGCCAATTGACCTATTATGTGATAGCAAGGCAGCATTATAAATTGCAGCTAATCCAGTGTATCATGAAAGAACAAAGCATATAGAAATAGACTGTCACTTCATAAGAGAGAGAAGATTCGATATGAATTGATCAAGACACAATATGTGAATTCTAAGGATCAACAGGCACATATTCTAACCAAAGCACTTTTGAGATCACTGCATGAATACTTACTTTCCAAGCTGGGAGTGCTCAATATTTTCACACCTATCAGCTTGAGTGGGAGTGTTGAAATGGGATTACTTGAAACTAAATGAACTAAAGTTGAGATTTAACTAGAGTTAGTGTAGATTAGTCATTAGTTAATTATGATTAGGTTAGTTAGTCGGTTAGAAGCAATTACACTGTATATATACAGTAGTTATTTGTTCAATACATAGCTGAGCTCATTATTCTTTATTTCTCAACTCTGCAATTGCTCTTTGTCCTCTCCGATCTTCTTTCTCTCTCAAAGCTCCATTAGAGTAAACCTAGAGCTCAATCTACGGAAATTGATAGATACTTTGTATTCTCCTTTCATAGAGGGAAATAAAGGATGAGAAAATACTAACATATATCATGATTTTTTTTTTACCTTCAACTTTGCACTTGGGGAATTTTCACTTTTAAAATAATATAGATATGACAATGATTATGCATTTTGACGAGGTCAACCATGTTCTATGTCCATTTAAAAGGTCGATGGATATTATTCTAGTAAATCTTAAATATTAATAGGGTTTAATAGAATTTGTTAAGGAATTTTAATTTTATACATTATTAGTATATACCCTATTACATTGTTGTTGCTATTGTTTATTGCTTTATTTTTACTGTTACCTGAGCCGAGGGTCTATCGGAAACAGTCTCTCTAGCTTTATAGGTAGGGGTAAGGTATGCGTACACAGTCACACTACCCTCAGTTATTTGTTGTTGTTGTTGTTGTACGGTATACTATAAAGAAATATTTACAGATCAATAAAAAATAAGTGTATGCACCTAACTTAATTACTAAACATTTATTAATAATATAAAATAAATGATAATTAACCTATTAAGGCACATAACATATTAAATCACCATTTATACTTTAATCTTATATTTAATGTAAAATGATTCAAAGGATAATTACTCCACCAAGGAAAAGCCAGAAGCAGAATTAGCTGAACTGTTACACACTGTTTTTAGCAATTGAAATTGAATCCTCCTCCGAGCTTACTCCTGCTATTAATCAGCGCCATTGATGAAGAATTCATTCAACATTATGCTAGAAGAAGATTAGGGTTTGTTTGATCTGAGTGATAATTTTGTGCGCGGAGAAAATGGAAGAGGCGAAAGCGTTGGCTCAACAGCAGCTAATGATGCAACAGCAGCAACAACAACAACAACAACAACAACAACAGCACCAACAACATCAGCAGCTACTCCTATTGCAGCAGATGCAACAACAACGTCAGAAGCAGCAACAACAACAGGAAGTCATGGCTCGTTTCCCTTCTAACATCGACGTTCATCTCCGTCCTCAGCAGCTCCTTCACCGTCCCCTCATTAATCCCCTCCAATCCCAATCCCAAAACCCTAATCCTAACCCTAACCCTAGCTCTAGCAATAACCCGTCGAGCCAGATCCCCAATCAACAAAACCCTAGCGTTGGCCCGAACTCGGCCCAACAGCTGCAGCAGCAGCAGCAAAAGATGGCGACCCGGGTTGCCCCGGAATCGAATCGGGTGGAGCTCCAGATGGCTTACCAAGACGCTTGGCGAGTCTGCCATCCTGACTTTAAACGTCCGTTCACTTCTCTTGAAGACGCTTGCGAAAGGTAATTTCTTGTGGTCTCTTTTACAATTATTTTTCATAAAGTATGTTTTTTGCTGCATTTTTGAACCTCTTTTATGCTTTTCTAATTTCTTAATTTTTTTTGTTATTCAAAACGTCTATTTTGCACAACTGCTGTAATTTGAGCTGATTCATGGGAACTAAGGCCTCCAAATTCATACTCATGCTTAGAAATGTTAAGAAATAAGTTTAGAGAAAATGCATCCACGCAAAAATGTGATAGCTATTGGACTTGTGCACATATAGTTTACATATGGAGGATTTAGCAGGTTGAGTTGCTGTGGTATTATATGGGAGGGGAATTGTTTGGGTGGTGCAGAGTTAAGGAGTTAGGGGTAGGTTTATTTTGCGACGCTGAATTGAAAATGGAAGTTGTGCTTCCCAGCTTTGCTAGGAGTCCCTTTTGATATGATAAGTCTCCAGTTCTGGAGAGCCGGAGAGGGAATGCTTTTTTCAAGTCTAGGAATAGATGGCAGTTACATGGTAAATTGTATGTAGCATAATTATATCGGTGAACGTTTTATACAGTAGCGAAAGTCTTTTTTCTCCTCGTGTCTTTCTGCAACTAGTATGCTCACTGTGCTACAGCCAGCAAGCTGTGCATGCTGAGCCCCTAGAAGACTTCTAAACAAACACAATGTAGCAGCAGCATCACTGAACCCTTCTTAGTCAATGTTGATAACCGTATGATATACAACTTCTGTGCACTCATTTAAAGTAGCTTCAAGCTTTACTGGGCATAAGAGAATGTTTTTAGCATGTTTTTTGCATATTACTGCTTTTTCCTTTTTATCTTGGTCAGTCCAAATGATCAAATATAAACAGTTAAGTAATAATCTCTTACTTTTAGAGCAGGCATGGAAAAATACATGAGTTCTTAACAGCTTTCATCATTTTGACTGGTAAAAGAAAAAAAAGGAAGAAATGTAAACACTATTGTTACCTTTTATCTACTGGATTCAGCAGCTTTTTATGCTCAGTAACCAAGGACAATCTGTTATGACTTTCAACTGACAGAACCATTGTTATAAGATCAAAATCAGAGAAAAGTATAGCGTACCAAATATATTAGTGCTTCTTAAAAGTATGCAAATTGCTTGAAAACTTGTGTTTAACTCTGAAAAAGGTGATCATCTTTTTGTTATTCCATCCTCTACCTTCACTTTTTCTATCTCCTTCTTCCAGGGGACTCTTTTATTTAACAGAAATATGTCTGAAGTTTCTTTATGTGAACTAGGTGTTTTATCGTTTTCTTCTTCTTTTTAATATTAAGTTCATCATAGAATTGTTTTCCGCATGCTTGTCATCCACAGCTTTAGCTCCCAATGACTACTTAAACTCTTCAACGACTTTATGCTAACTATGCACTTAACCATGGAATCAAAATACACCAACTCAATCTTTTGTATTACAAAGTCTAGTATTTCTAGCTCAATTATGAGGAGGGATTTCTTGAAAAAGGAACTCCAATATTTTGTTTCATGAGAGATAGCTGTCTTGAAAAGGAGCATCTGAACATAATTTCCTGTTCTTCACTGTAGACCATTAAATTGGACAGGTTTATGAAAATCAGGCTATCTATAGCCAGCTTTACTGGTTGGCAAAAGCTATTCCTGATCATGTAAAATTAGCAGAGTTTACTGGAAATAGTCTGTGCTCACCTATCAAAAAAGTTATTAATATAAAAAGCATCCTGCCTGTGGTATTGACATCAGAATTTTTCCTTGTGTCATGGATTTTATTTAGGCTTCTACCTTACCATGTGGTGGCAGACTATGAAGCAGAGGAGGATGATAAGATCCTTGATTCAGACACTACAGGCCAAATGCTTTCTCGCTCACAGCAGTGGGACCACAACATCGCTGCCAAAGTTGCAGAGTTTACTGCGACATTTGAGAAACAAGTCCTAGCATTTAACATAATTTCCCGCAAGAGAGATCTTGGAGAATTCCGGACAGAGGAGAAGCTCATGATAGAGCAGTTACTGTTGCAAGAAGAGAGAAGAGCTCTGCTTGAACTGAAGACAGAGATGGACGCGAGACAAAAAATGGGCAGAGAGATTCATGATCCTAATTTGCAAATGGCGGCTCTTGTTCATGCAGAACAAGCTCGCGCGGAATCACAAGCTCGTGCTGAGATGATGATACGAGCTAGTGCACTTGGGCCTAGGGGGAGCAATATTCAAATGGGTAATGATGTGGGTGAGCATGGACAGGAAGTTAGCCCTGATGAAATGATCAATGGTTGGGGCAACAATGGACATAAAGATGAAAAAGAACCATCCGAGGACTTTCTGAATGATGAAGAAACTGATAATGGAGATATGGGCACTCAGAGTGAGTGGCGTGGAGGTGGGGAGTTGGACCTGAACACAAGATAAATCTTAAGAGTCAGTGTTTGCAATTTCCATGTGAAAAGTGAATACTTGTATCAAAGTTTTAGCCCACCATATGCTTTGGTGCACTCTGTTAATGATTCCACACTTGAAAGTTGGGAGAAGCTCACCTATTAAGATTAGGATGACTGAAAATTGAGTGTCTTATTATGCTTAGACTGGAAATGAAATATGGCCGTCTTTCTATGATTCAGGGGACATAATTTACCAACCCCGATATCCAGATACAGCAAAGCTGCATTTCTGGTGAAAATGGTATTCCCATGCAACCCTCTTCTCATGCTTTCCGTCGTATAAGACTTATGTTGCACTGTAAAGATTTTGGCACCTGTGATGAAGAACCCCACTGTTCTTCCCCC